TATATAAACAATATAAAAACATCAATTCATATAGCTTCACATTTTACTTTCCATAAACCTTCAAAAAACTAGCTTTTATCTGTCTTTTAAATATATACATAGATCTAGCATTTTTAAGATCATCCTCCAAACCGTTAATCCTATACCTTGGATTAACTTTTGTTTTAATCTTATCACAGTTAAACTTATAGTTTATTAGCTTCTCACTAAGCTTCTAATTAGCTGAGACAAACATTTCTTCTGAGCACCACTAGAGGGATCCCGAGAGCCAGCAGTGATCTTTTGTAAAACACTTGTTTCCTGTTTTTAGGATAAAATCTGAGCACAGAAACAACAGACAGTTTGGGTGCACTTTTCACTTGGTGTGTCATGAAGATTTGAGAGAAAAATATACATCCTACAGAAATGGAGGGCAGTCTAGGTGAAAAAAAAGTATTGAAAGTGTAAAAACTGTGACAATTAGTCATTTTGAAAGGTTTGTCTTGAACACATTTTCTTTCAAAATGTGACATTTTGAGATAGAATAGACATTTTTTTCCACAACCTCTGTTATATGAATACAAGCAAAATTTATGTAGCCTAAAGAAGAATCATTAATATTTGATAATTCATGTTAAAGCCCTGAAAAAAATGATATTTTCCTAATGTTATTTCTAATGCTATCATTCTGTTTTCCTTCTGTCTTCTTCACCTTCCTGCAAGAAAACATATTTTGTTTCTACAAGTTTGGCATACAATGTTTTCTGAATATTTCAAGAACAAATTAAAGTTCTCATGCAAATCAGGCTTCAAATCCATAAATCTGACTGAGCACACAAGTAAACTACACTACACTACACAGTCTGTGTGCATCATGTTTGCATGTGATACATGAGATGAGCAGCAGATGGTGGAGCTGCGCTTCTCTGGATGTATCAGATTGCAAAGTGTTGCTTGGCACATCTTAATTCTTCAGAATTTCACCGATCAGCTTGTGATTTTGTGTATTAAAGTGTCTTTTTTGTGAATTTTATCTGTATAGGGAAAGCCACAGGGTCCAGTTGTCTGCTGCGTAGGTCACTCTGTGATCTTCCAGGGTACTGTCTGAACATGTACCCCGCTCTGTGCACGTCAGCTCCGTCCACATTCCTGTGTCGAGTCAAGAAAGACCAAACTGGTGGTTAAAAGTTGCAGAATAACCTTTCAGCAAAGACTCGTATAAAGTGCACACTTCATCTGAGAACTTCACTAATCCCATCAGAGCAACATGTGTCTCACATGTGCTGTTTGTTTGYTGCTTTATTAGTCAAATGATTATAAGAGGTATTTATTGGACTTTAACTAGAAACAAGTGTTTTTTTTTCTCAAAGTGTTTCCGAAAAGAAATTAGGCCTCCTTTTACACTCAGCGTGCATGCCTTGTCATTTAACAGTTTGATAACTTGTTTAAACTTGGCTGTAGAAACTAATAAAAATAGACCCATAATTGTGAAAAGAAAACATTGTGTAGATTCTGGATTACCTAAATAAAAATATATGTAAAATATATGTAATCTTATCATTGTGACTTGACTATCAATGTTTATGTTCTTCCTTATTTTTATAGAAAAAATAAAAACATATTGGTAAATGATTATCAGTAATTTTCCAAACAGCAAGCAGTTCATCTGAACATAAAATCAACACAAATGTCACAAGACAAGGAATTCATATATTGCTGACTTTAGAAGAAATTTGCTGAATAATAAAAGCAAAGTACGGTTAGAGAGTTAAAAATCAACAGAACACATTGTAACAATTTATGTTGTAATATTTCCTTCTTTTTATTTTTTTTGGTTGTGCACAACAACTCTTTCAGCTGTGTTTCGATCTTGAGCACAAAACATTTCCTAACCAGCCAGAGGGGTCTGAGGCGCATCGGATTTCTCCCAACAGCTGAAATTGGGGCGGTGGGAGTGTCGAGTGTTGGGACACTAAACAGCTGAAGGGACACTGCAGCCGAAGTTAAGGACAAAAACCTTTCACAATAAAAACCCAGACCTCAGTTCTGAACAGTCTCCTTAGTATACCACTCATAAACACAAACACAGCTAATAAAATTTGTAATTTTAATTTTATTTTTATGTAATAGTTGGTGTTTAATTTGCTGTCCTTGTTTTGTTTTTTAAGAGGATTAAAACGTTTGATTAAAAATGGTTAAAGGTCTAAAATAACAGAATAAAATAAGATAATAAAAAAATACTGACAAACACTCAGATATTAAATAAGCACAAATGATATCAAAAGATTACAGAATAAATTTTAGACAAACTGATTTTTATTACTTTACATTGTTGTTTTTTTTAGCAAATGTATCTTAAATTCCCCAAATATTGTGCATTTATAATAAAAATGCATGAGAGGGAGATAGACATTTTCCTTAAAAAAAAAGTAAAAATACCTCTAAAATTAATAATCGTCTGTAAACAGTAACAGCCATGCAAGCTGCAGCTCCTGTGGTGATCTGACTCAAGCCTCCACATGCAGGACCTGAAGTCACACCTTCACAGGTGCAGCCTGTTGACAATCCTGCAGAGCAGAACTGTTGCAGTACCACTGCTGGGCCAGTGAGGATGGAGAGCTTTGTCAAAATAAAATTTTAAATATATACACATATGTATAAATTTATCAAACCTCTGTTTAGAGTTGTGCTTTTAATCCAGTTATCACGATTTACAGTCTAAAAGTTAAACATGTGTATTTCATTTTCCAACTATTTCTTCATTATTGCAAAGTTTGAAGTGCTGTGCTCTGCATCAACCAGCTGGACTATCTTTAGCCCCCCTGGCAAGTGAATGGAAGTGCCTGCCTTATCCCCTCTGCTGTCATCAGGGCCCGCAGTATTTTTAGGAGACAGCTGCAGCTGCAAAAGCATTTAACAGTATTCCATGAACAATGACAGTTGGGCTGTCTGAGGCCTGAACGAAACCGAGGTTTGAGAACTGCTCTGATTTCGTTCAACAGGAATACGTTTTTTTGGTTTTCTGTAGTTCTCCTGGACAAACGTCTGTGAGGATGTAACCCGGTCCGGACCCTTAGCATGTCTCTGAACGTGAAGGCAGCCGGGGACACTTCAGCCACACCACAGCTAAACTACGCTCAACCCTCTGGAACCAGGTGGCGTTGCTTTTTAACTCGGACCACGATTGCGGGCGCGGAATGTATGCTGATGATGACTGCTGCTGGCGACTGAAGCGAGGTAGGGCGTGTGAGGGGTGCATGGCTTCGCCGTGGGGGCAAAGGTCGTTCCAATTTAATAAGACGAGCAAACACGGGGGTTGATCTGTTCTTTTTAAACCTCCAGAGGGGATATTAAAGACGCTTAAAGTGCAATGTCTAAACTGTGTGAAGGAAATATCATTGCAGAGTCAATTAAAATTCTGTACAAAGATTTGAGTGTTACACTTTGTGCATTTGGCAGATTCCTCAAAGTGCTGCAGTTTTTTATTTATTTTTGCATTATTAAGTAGTAGAAAAGCACAGATTGTTTGGTATTTGGTTTATAGGCAGCTGAAACAAAGAAACACATGGACATGAATAACGATTTAACTATGGGATTTGACAGTATATTGAGTTGTTTATGTTAGAGTTGTGCTGAAGTTACAGTCACAGCCAGTGTTGTATAAAGTACCTCAAAGTGATACATGAGCAAAAGTACAAGTATCTTATCATAAAAATACTTTGGTAAAAGTTAAATTCTTCTCTAAAAATACTTCTTAAGTAAAAGACTTAAAGTATCTGATATAGTTTGTACTTAAATATCAAATTTCTGACACAAAATCTACTTAAGTATTAAAAGTAAAAGTACTGAGTAAAAGTGAGCAGTTAGATTTTCCAAAATGACATTTATTGGGAGGTGACTTCTCCAAAAAAAATTTTTTTTTCTAACGGCGTGCAGCTGATGGGTTGTGTACAAGCTAATAGTGTGTCAGAATGGTATATATTTATACTTCTCATCCAACCACAWTTAAATTCACTCTATCCAGGAGACACARTTTATCAGGATAGTATTTTTTAAGTAATAACAACTTGGAATAAAATAGGAGTAACGACTTTCTACTTCTTACCTTTTTAAAAAATGCAGTGAGTAGAAAGTACAGATAACTGTGTAAAAATGTAATGAGTAAAAGTAAAAAGTACGCTGAAAATAAGTACAGATAACCAAAATTTCTACTTAAGTACAGTAACRAAGTATTTGGACTTAGTTACTTTGCAACTCTGGTCACAGCTTCATTAATGCTGGTTCTTGTCCTTCATCTCTGTAACTTTGATCTTTTGCAACTCTCGTTTTCATTGACTGGATGTAAGTTTGGGCAGATCAYCCCTCAGGGAACTTTTAAGCCTTTTTGTTGAGGAGTGAATCGGAGCATGTGCTGGTGGAGTGCAGGGCATTTTGTCTGGCAGCATGAAGTGYCCCCACATGAATCCTCTCTTAACTGCATCACACTGAGGGGCTGCAGGGGAGCTGCTTCAGTCTCTCTTCGACTTGATCTCAGATTAATTTAGTTGAGATGAATCACATTTTTTCGTAGTCCAAACCAAATTTTTGACCCGGTGATCCCATTCATTTCAAATTTATTTTGTTGTTGTTGTTCTGTGGTTGAAGAGTATTGCCTGAGATAAAAATGCTGACAAACAATTGGGCTTTTCTCCCTCTCATATTCTTAAACATTTCCATCAAGTAAATAAATAAATAATTTAAGGAATACCATTGCGTAAATTAAAGCGCAATGCTATTTTCAACTGCAAGTGAATGGATTTATGTTTTGGAAGTATTTGTGAGTAATTTACCCAMTTATTAGCCTGGTAAAAACCAGACCCTTGTCCTTTACTTTGCTTCATACAGAGGGTCTGGACTCGCGGCTATAGAGAAGTGATTCTTGCTGGAGGAGTGGCCTCTGCTGAAGTGTGTGTGTCGCTGTGAAGGAGGCTAAGCTAAGAAGCTAACGGAAATCGCGTGTGCTGTAAACAACCCTACTGAGATGAGAGAAGTACCGAGCCGAACGAGACGACTGTAAATGAGAGCTGCTGCTTTGTCAGACAAATTTAATTTAATTTGGAAGCCTTATCGACACGGACTGGCTTCATTCACTTCCTCCACTGCCGTATGCTAAACAAACTAGCAGACACTGCGCAGCAAATCGACGTTGTTCAAAACTCCATCTTCTGTTTGCTGATTGGCCCAGGTAAAATAAACTACAAGCAGACACTGCGCAGAAAATTGACGTTCTGTTCTCTGATTGGCCCAGGTAAAATAAACTACAAGCAGACACTGCGCAGAAAATTGACGTTCTGTTCTCTGATTGGTTTGGCTAAAAATCTGCCAGCAAAATCCTTGACTATGGGMGAAGTCCCAGACAGAGCAGAGAAGGGGAACTAGAATTGAGCGTAAATGCATAGGAAGGCAAGGGCCAGGCTACCCAAATATACAAAAAATTGTCTTTCAAGAGTTTGACTCCTTGGTTTATTTTAGGGTTAAAAGAGTCTTTTTGGTCATGGAGTGATTTTGTGTCTGTGTGAGCCTGGAGGTTTTGAGCTGTCTTTGTGATACCTGACACACACTCCCTCGCAGGTCTTTATTTAGGGTTTACTATATTAAGCACGTTCCCATTGAAATACAGCACCAGCTGTGCTGGCTATGTGTTGTGGCTGCTGTCGCAACAGGACTGGGCTGTTCCTCTTCTTGCTGCTCGGCTGTGTTTTTCTCTCACGCAGACAGATCTAATTCAATTAGCTCTAATATTCATGCCATCTGTTTGTGTTGAAACATTCATGGGGGCAGAGGGTGAGTGTTGGAATGGTAAAAGATTTTATTCCCATTCCAAATGATAAGGGTTTAATTCTTTGCGGAAACTTTTAATTACGATCTCATGAGATATGATGGTGTTGCTTCTAGTTTTGACTGGCTTGTTTTGTCTTTGCAAAATGTTTCCAATTGTATTTTTCAATGTTCGGTGAGCATTAGTTCCAAAAAAATTCTTGTATTGATCTTTAGTTGTCAAATTACATTTAAGTATGATTCATGTTTGCATTGTTTTTGCATATTTAGGAGATAAAAACATAAATAAATGACTAAAAATGGTACAATGGTTGTTAGGACTGTTTGTGAAGTTGTTATGCACCCATTTAATTGGGTTTACAAGCCTTTTTTCATGTTATTTTGTGAGTCAGTAGTTTAAAAATTTGGGATTCATTCGAATAAAGCACACAATTTGTTCTTAATCATAATTATCCATTTTTTGCTTTCTTTCTTCAGAAACGAGAGTGGAGACGCTGCACGGTCCTGCTCTGGTGAATAGCCACAAATTACTCTCCTGCAATTCTTGAGGTGGAAGGAAGCCGTCCAAGACTCAGCAATGGATGTGTTTGGTGGCGCGCCACGTTTCTTAGCCTACCCGAGACCTGTATTAGTACAAAGTGGAACAGATGCAGTCTTAAAGTGTCAAATAGGAGGTGATCCAAGACCTGCCGTCATATGGGAGAGAAATAATGAAAAGATTGACCCTCAAGGACGATACAGGGTATTTGAAGATGGCAATGTTTACAACCTTATCATTTCAGCTGTCACTATTGAGGATAGTGGCCAATACATATGCAAAGCAAAGAACTGCATCGGGGAAACGTATGCAGCTGCCACACTGAAAGTCGAAGGTGAGGCACAAGAAATGGAGCTTAGGGAAGAAAACAAGCCACGATTCCTCATCAAGCCCCTCTCCACTCGTGTTGGTCGTGGAGATGATGCTGTCTTTTCCTGCAAGCTTTGGGGAAACCCACGACCAGAGGTAGTCTGGGAAAAGGACGGTAGAAAACTCAACGAAATTTTCGAGAGCACACATTTCAGTGTGGGCCACCAGGATGGTGGGTGGTTTCAGCTTAAAATTTTCAAGTGCCGCGCTCCAGATGGTGGTGTGTACACGTGCAAAGCTAGGAATGAGTTCGGAGAAGCCCTAGCAGGAGCTGTGCTGCTTGTGGACGCAGGCCCAGGCCATGAAGATGAGGGAAACCGCAAYGGCTACACAAACAGTCACTGGAAAATCCACCAGGGAAAACAAAGGACTGGCAGACAAGTACCTAACCGACTAAAAGGCGACTCCATGACCAAGTCAACGAAAGTGAAAATGTTTGCAGTGACTGAAGGAAAGCATGCCAAATTCCGCTGCTTTGTGACTGGTAAACCAAAACCAGAAATAATCTGGAGGAAAGATGGTAGACTTATACTTTCAGGAAGGCGTTACTTGTTATACGAGGACAGAGATGGGTACTTCACACTAAAAGTTCTCTACTGTAAACAAAAGGACAACGGGGTTTATGTCTGTGCTGCATCCAATACTGCAGGACAAACCCTCAGTGCTGTACACCTTTCTGTCAAAGGTAAGTCAAGATTTCCATCGTTGGTTCTGTTTTTTAAATATGTAAATGTTTGAAAATGGAACCTTTTAAGAGTAACAGCAAACACCCAAGCATGGGATGTCTCTCACAGTGAGTAAAAAATAAATAAATACATGAGAAGGATGTTGTGAATGTTTGTATCACATTTCTGTCCATTTGATGCCAGTATGTTGTCACTGAGATAAAAAAGGTACACTGAGATCATTTACTGGGATAAGGCCAAGTAGTGAAAGTAAAGAGAGTTTAAGGAGTTTTAAACTTGATGTCATGATTTCAGATATTTGTCTTGAAGTTCTAAAAGCGTTCAGCTGTAAAACATTATCACACTCAGTTGCAAGTTTATTTTGTTCTGTAAAAGAATCCAGGTGAGTACCAGCTTTACTCTCTTATTCAGGTCAGTTGCAACTGTGACCCATGGACATGCCTATCAGTACATTTTATTCTTACTTCATATTCCAAACAGTATGGTGCTTAATGATTTGAATATTTGGCTTGATATAATCAATTTGATGAACTGGTGTCAGAGCAGTTCAGCAGGCTTGTTAGTTTTTGTTGGTTAAAAAAATCCATGAGTCCATGGGTGATCAATAAAATGTAAAATTTAAGTAAAATTTAAGTCTGGGGATGTCTAAAATTAAAAAAAGCTTTGAGTAATGCTCAGCATTAGCATGATGTCTGCAAAGTCGCTTAGTTTGTATAAGGGTGGTTGTCCATGTGATAGAAGTAGAGTATCAGATTTCTCACATGATCTAAATCCAAAACTCATGACACCATTAAAATATCCCTATGACTTCCTTTTGCTGTGTCAGTGGGAGTTGAACATTTCACATTGAGGAGAAATTGATGGTCTCCTGTGGCTAATGGGAGAAGAGAATTAAGGAAGTGAGTGTCCGATTTTTAGGAACAAAGGGGACCCAAATATTGCATTAAGCAAACAATGGCAWATTTTAGATAGACTGGAAGTGGAGGCTTAAAAAGCTGGGATTAATCAGGGAAGTGGCAACAGGTGAGACTAATGACGACAGGGAACAGGTGCTAATGGGCAGGACAGGATGGAGGAACTGGCTCAGGGAAAAATGTTGGTGGAACAAAGAACATAGTTCAGAAAACAACACAATGAGCAAAATAATCAACATAAAATAACTCAAAGCAATAAACACAATAGCTGACAGAAAACAACAACAAAAAGCCTGAGTAGTCAGAGATGAGCTGTGAAGATTCTGTTTTTACAACGGTATCAGTTACAAAAAGTATATTCCCTATTTAACACCTCAGTGTGTTTACAGCCTTCGTGTTCCTGAACTAAATGTGTCACTTGGCTCATATTTTTTTCAAGTCTTGTTTGCTCAACTAGCATTCATTGTAAAAGTATTTTAATTGATTGTGTTATACCAGGGTGTACATGTGTTGAGAGTTTCCACAGGGTCATCTTGTTCAGGCTTAAGTGAGTCTCTCCCTTCCTCTCTCCTGATCCCAGAGCCGCCTGTGCGGTTTAAGCAGCCTCTCTATGATCTGGAAGTCTGGGAACGAGATTTAGCTGTTCTTGAGTGTGAAGTTCCAGAAGACTCCGTTCCAATTACGTGGTATCTGGAAGACAGACGACTGCAGCCAGGGGCCAAGTATGGAATGGAGGAATGGGGGACAAAACGACGACTAACAATCCGTGACATTGGAGTTGATGATGATGGAATTTACCTCTGTGAGATGCCTGATGGAGGCAGAAGCATAGCAGAGGTAGCTGTTAAAGGTAAATTTTCAAAGCACACATTTATTTTAAACACACATTAATTAATGACAGGCATACTTAAAATTACTTCTTTGATCAAGCAACTGGCAGTTTATTTCATTATTTCTTTACAGGTACAATTTTGCGGAAGCTTCCAAGAAAAGTGGATGTCTTGGAAGGTGAAAATGCTGCCTTTTGTGTTGAAGTAGAAAAAGAAGAGATGGACATCCATTGGTACAAAGATGGCACAGAGTTGCGTGAAACTCATCAGACCATTATTAAGTCCTTTGGTCGAACTCACATCCTGGTTTTTGTCAACACAATGCCCCAAGACTCTGGACAGGTCACTTTTCTTGTGGGCAGATCCAAGACGTCCTGTCAGTTAAGAGTGAAATGTGGGTTCCATTGTCAATAAACTGCTGCATCATTTGCAACAAAACTTTAGTTCMCATTTGTCATTTCTTTATACTCTGATGGAAAGTACAAATGTTTTTTGTTTTGTTTTTGTTTTAGCTGCTAGACATTGTCCTCCTAGCTGTCCTGTGGGAGTGCAGATCAACACAGAACGTGCTAACGCCGCTCTTCTCTCCTGGATTCCTGCTCCTGACTCACGAAAGAACCCTCCATCTGGATATGTGCTCGAACGACAAGAAGTAGGCACCGGTTCACAGGAGTGGCTCCAGTGTCTGACCACTGACTCTGCAACTTCTGTGGAGATCCTTGGTGACAGCGTCCCATGTGAAGCCGATTATCGCTTTCGCATTTGCAGTGTAAACAAATATGGAAAAAGCAACAATGTTGAGTTTCCGAGAACTGTTCACTTAGGTACTCTCCAGTATAAAAAGAGAACAATGCCTCGTGGTCGAGAGTACACTTGGTAAATTTTTAACAAAATCATTTTTCTATGCAGTTCCTGTGGCCAGAATACAAGCTCCTTTACAAGATGCCTTGGTGCCAGAGGGACAGGATGCCCTTTTCACTATTGAACTCTCTGCTTCAGTTATTGGTACCTGGTTTTTAAATGGGACCCAGCTTCAAGAAGATGAGCGCTATTCCATTCGTAGGTCGAGAACCCACCAATCTCTTCGTATTCGAGGAGTGCGAGACACAGACAATGGAGCCGAGATTACATTTATTGCCTATGGCATCCGAGATTCTGCAGCCCTCTACATCCAAGGTAGGTACTGTTAATATTTACTTGGCATAAACAACAACAGTGTATGATACTTCAATAAATTTCCCTAAAACAAAAGATACATGTTGTAAAATAACATTTTTTTCATTTGTAGCTCCTCTGGTTAAGTTTCTACCACTGTCGGAAATGGATCGCAACAAATTTGTAGAATTCGAGAATCCAATTGTTCTCTACTGCGAGATCTCTGACCCTGCAGCTCCAGTGCATTGGTACAAGAATGGGTTAGAACTACACACAGTGGAAGGTCTTCATATCCAATCAGAAGGCACAATGAGAAGGATTGTCATCCAATCAGCAGACTTCTCACATTCAGGGGTCTACTGTTGTGATGCCATTGACGATGTCATCAGGTTCAACGTAGAAGTAGAACGTGAGTGGCTTAAGTTTCTTCTGACTTCAATACTAACCAACTTGATGCCACTTGTTAAAACTCTTTTACTCTTTTTAGATGTATTGAAATATGTAAACAATTCATGTTGTATTGTATGATGTCTTATTTTAAGGTTACACTCATAAAAACACTTTTTTTATAACTTAACAATTGATTACAGTGTTTACGTATCCATAGCCCCACCTGTGAGGTTTTCAGCAATTCCAGATGCAGCGAGGAACAAAACCATCCAAACTGGCTGCCCAATTGTTTTACAATGTGAGCTGTCAGATTCCTCTGCCCAGGTGCACTGGTACAAAGATGGCACAAAGCTCCACCCTCAAAGTGGCATAGATATTATAACTGATGTCTTTGTGAGGAAACTGATTGTCCATTCAGCAGAAGTGGCCCACTCTGGCTTGTACTGCTGCAGGACAAAGGGTGACTCCATCACGTTCAGTGTGGACATCAAAGGTGATTCATTGAATTTTAAGTGTTGTGAAACATAACAAGCTGCTACTCATCAATGCAACTAACTCTGTTGATCTTTCTCTATGTTATGTGATGCTCTATCTTTCTTCTTGACAGTAATTTTGTCTGTGTCTACTTTTTTAAAATCTTTCATTTTGTTACAGCATGTTAGCAGTTTAATCCTGAGTTAACATACAGTATCATAATGATTAAACTATGTCTAAGATGAGGTTTACTCAAGATTGATATGAATTCTAAACATATCTGTAGCTCCACCTATGAAGTTCTCATCTGTTCCTGAAGACATGAAGATCCAGTTGATCGAAGCTGGCCGTCCTGTAGCGCTCTGTTGTGAGGTCTTGAACTCTGAAGCCCAGGTTTGCTGGTACAAGGACGGAACACAGCTCATGTCAAACTCTGAATTAGAAATCCACTCAGTGGGCAACACAAGGACATTAGTTGTTCAGTCTGCAGAGCTGTGCCACTCTGGTTTGTACAGATGCACCACGCAGGACGATAATGTGGAATTTCAAGTGGAGATCAAAGGTGAATTTTCACTTTCTATCTTAAGCCTTTACATTGTAACCCACTTCCCTCTTTACAATTGCGACTAACTATCCCTGCTTAAACAGTGTGGTTTGATGATTCTTTTATGCACATAATCATAAAGAACTATTGTTTTTGTTGTTGTTTCTGCTTTTGCTTTGTACCTGCTGTGGTTCTTCCTGAATTGAAAATCTCCAAAGCACTTCTTTTATCATCTGCTCAGCAGTTATATCTTTGAAAGGTTTCCATTTCCACAGCCTCGGGTTTATTTAGTTGTCCTTAATTCCCAATGCTAGCTCTACCTGTGACATATTCTACCATCTTTGACACTGAGAGAGCCGAGTCACTTGAAGAGGGCAAACCTTTGGGGCTCGAGTGTCAGGTTGCAGACTCCACTGTCCCTGTTTGCCGGTATAAAGATGACAAAAAGCTCTGCCCACCAGAGGGTTGGGATATAAAGAATGATGGTGCATCAGTGATACACGTTACCCCATCTGCTGAGCTCATTCAGCCAGAGCTTTACAGTTGTGAAAACTCTGATGAAAATACCCACTTCTCTGAGACTATTAAAGGTGATATTTTCATTCAAATTGTTTAATTCTTAGAGCAAATGCTCGAGCTGTCTGAATACTAACACTTGTAATAACTGTGCATATGTCTAAGCAGTAATTTGTGAGTGCATATATCTAGTCAAATTAATCTCTGCCTAAAATAAATTAGGTGATTTAAATCATTTGTAACACAACAAAGTCTTGCAGCAAATATAGATATTGAAGCTTTCTATCGTGTTTTGGAAAATTAAACTTTTCTTCAGGGGTGTAAAGTTCCACATCTAAGATCAGTTATATTTTGAATCATTATTTTTAGCTTCAACACATTCGCCTTCACCGGAGGTTGTGGAAATGCAGTCACTTGAAGCAAGCTGCCCATCTGAACCGGCTGAAGAAACTTCCGACCCTGCTTCCCAGGTGTCACAGCAGAGAGAATCAGAGTCCGATTCAAATAGAGAATTTGATCTTGAACCAGGAGATATCAAGGAGACTCTTGTTATTGAACCAGCCCATCCTTCAAACTCTGGATCATACTATTGTGCAACAGCAGATGATGTTGCCAAAATATTAGTGAAACATCAAGGTGATTGTCTTTTCTTTTTTGCAAATGTATAACCAGTTATGTTTGTGGCTTTTTTGTGGCTTCAAGCTCTACCTTTATGTACAAATTTCTGCTAGTTCTTGTTTGTTTTTCTTCCAAATTTATGAGTGAAATGCACTGAAATTGTCCCCCAATGATTGTTTGTAGAGCCACCTCCAACAAATCAGCTTGAGCCTGACAAGAAGACCAAGTCACCTGAAACACACTGCCAAATTGTTCAGCAGTTTGAGATTTCAGATCCCGTTGCAAAAGCTTGTTGGTACAAAGATGGAACCCCGATATTTCCAAAACGAGAAGCTGACAATACAGAAGACAGCCAAATCTCGCCCCTCCAGTCAACATCCTTGTCTGGTGATGGCAGGTTTAGCTGTAATCCATCGAATGATGCAGAGTTACATGACAACATAAAAGGTGTTGTTCTTCATTGCACCTGTACATTTTATAACTCAAGAAGTTAGTTACATGCGTGACCCGATCACCTAGCTGATTGTCTTTTCTTTGGCTTTGTCCAAACAGCCGGACAGTGTCACTATCGTGATGAGATTGATGAGGTAGCTGATGCATCAGCCCAATTCACTGTGGATGTCAAAGGTGATTTGATATTTCAAAATCAATCATCCATCTTAACCCAGCCCATAAATGCCACTAACAATAGTGGTGTATTTCACTGTTAGCTCAATCATCTAAGCCATCTGTAATTATGTTTTGTTTGTTTGTTCTTTTAGAAAATTTGCTTTGTATCACAATGCCATCCCTGGCCTCAAGCTTTTTTTACTGCTGATTTTTTGGCTCTTAATTAAACATGGTTGTTTGGTAGATGTATAGCTGCTGGTCATACTAACCTACGTGTTGTTTGTCAAACCATTCTTCATTTTAACTATCATCTTTGCTTACAACTTGCAACTCTTAAAGTCCATCTTATGATCTGTTCATCTCCAGAACCTCTCATTCACATTGCTACCCTGAACGTTTCCCCGTTGCAATGACAACAAAGTCTTATCCAAGGGACATRAATACTTTACATTCTAGGTTTTAAGGCATTAGTGCACAGAGTCATTAGAATGGAGACATACTGAAGAGTATTTTCAGACCAATCCTGGTCGACCTTCTTGTTTGTCTTTGCAATGGATTATCCCATAACTCCATGCTAACCACCACTGCTGTAAAAAATGTTTTGTGGAAGGAAGTATTGAGAATACCAACAACTGAAAACCTTTTTCTGTGTACATCACAATGCTTATAGCTACATCACCAAGATACTCCCCTGACCAACAACGGATGGAGACCACAGAAGAGGCTCACTCTGATCAAGCTKTCCAGAAGTCCTCAAAGTGCTATTCTGACATCTTTACTGACAACGAGGGAAATATGTSCAAAAACCATGCTGAGGATATGATAACCCTTCAATCAGCTATACATTTTGCCTCTGATTGTTCTGCAAAGGATCAGCTGAAGGAGTTCCATGAATACCAACAAACAACAAATGCCCAACCTCTACAGTTCTCTCACTCTGTTGAACCTGCAATGATTCTATCCAACATACAAGATCACACTAAACAGACCATGAAGTCAAAAGGTGAGGAAATAATTTCCAGTACAGAGTATGAAGAAGCCCCATCAGAAGAACTTCATGATTGCTTGGAGAGAGTTGGACAAAAAGAGGAGCGCAATAATTCTTTACAAACTGCAACAGGATCTGAAGAATTCCCTTCCAAGGTACTAAGTGTTCAACCAGAGCAGGTACAAAACAAGATCCCAACTGTGCAGTCAAAACCAGGTAACCTTCAACAGACATCCAATACTAGACCTGAGCAAAACTTTAACTCTGTCGAGATTTCATCACTCCAACCAAACAAGTTTTGTAAATTAGATAAGCCTTTTGAATCCAAACATACTGCTACTGTGCAATCAGAGGGCCCATGTAGGTCCTCTCAGACGTCAGCTGCCCACTCAGGGATGTTTCCAGATTGTTCAGAGTCTGGCAGTGTCCTCTCAGTGAGGTCTTGTAAGTCTCTAAGGATGGCTACTGACGATTCAGAAGACATAAACATGCCTTTGCACAAATCATCTGTTCTGGCCGAGAAGTTTTGTGGCTTTACCAGTTCTGSTTCACTGGACTTGTCTAAGACTGCGGAAATAGAAACGATCCAAACAGAACATCTTAACTTGTCTACGTTTGTCCAACGGGATATTTATAATGCAGGACAAAAAGGATCTAATGTTTCAGTGCCGCTACATATATTGACACAGGAAGCATCTGGTCCAGAAGAGTGTCTTCACACCATAGAAACTGTGCACGACCAAGAGGACAGCTCTGTCCACTGTGGGCAAAGATCATCTACTACCTTTGCACAGTTTTACCACACCAAGAGGACACCTGCAGCGCAATCAAATGAGATGTATCTGTCGAGTACAAGTGACAGTCATTGGAGTGACAGTGTCAATGCAAATAAGGTGGCTGTTGAAGGTGATTTAATTGGTTAGCATTATAAAAACTAGATGGACATGATGTTGACATTATGTGAAATGAAAAGGTTGCTTTTTGCACTCCTTGACATTTTAAAAATGTTTACTTTTTATTCACCTGATTTTGCCCATACTAATTGAGTAGTAAAAGCAAAACTGAGCTTGAGTGGTCTGGAAAGAACATTACCAATAAATCAAACATTTGTATAAATGGCATATTAGTAATAAATTCTAATCTGAATGCCTAGTTATCTCAAATCTAACCAATATATCTTTTGTTAAAGTTACTAATATCAAAGAACACTTTTCATGACTTTTTTAAGTTGAGATATTTTGGCACGACTAATCATTTTTGAGATTTTGTTCTTTGATGTTTTTTTAAGTATTGCTTTTGTTGCAGTGAGTAATAGTGATAAAACTTTCTCTTGATGTTACCTTAAGCATCCCCAACCACACCTGTGAGAATAACACCTCTTCAGGAAGCTGAGAAGAACAAGTCTGTGGAAGTTGGTAAACCGTTAATGCTACAATGTGAGATATCAGATCCAAATGCTCAAGTAACCTGGTTGAAGGACGGAATGACACTTCCTGAAGCCGCTGAACTCGAGATACGGGAAGATGGCTCGAGACGAATCCTTGCTGTCCAGTCAGCGATGCTGTCTCATGCAGGGACTTACAGCTGCAAGACAGCAAACGATGCCGTGCAGTTTCAAGTGGAGGTCAAAGGGGACTCAAACCATTTCTGTAAGTTTCCCAAATCTGTTTTAGTCAGTGTTAAATTCAGTTTRTGATGTAAAAGAAACAACTGATTCTGAAGAAATTTATTTTCAGTGTTACTTAGACAACAAAAACAGGCCTACTTACTAGCGCTGTGGCAGTGGTTAATAACTTTTGTTTGACCGTTCTTCACTGTTGTGTTTTCCTTTCTACTTGTTGTAATGCAACACCGTAAAAGGTATACTTCTGTCAACTAATACTGAATCTGTTTGTTAAATTTTGTTATCAAAATTTTACATTTAGTATTACAATGACATGTGTGTGATATGTAACAATTACAAAGTGTTCTATGCAAATGAAAATTTTCATTTACTTATCATTGGTCTGCATAGGTACTTAATGAATGTACATTACCATCATTTCAATTCATTGCTTTGGTAATGAAATGGTAATACCAGTGGTGGGCAGCGCTAAACCAAAAATTAGCTCTGCAATTTCTAAAGCGCTTATGACAATATTTAGGTCCACAAATTCAAAAACACTTATGCCATAGAAAAATTAGCAGAAACTAATTCTAAACTACAACTTCAGTTTGACACTTACTAGCTGGTAACAGTTGTTCAATATAAATATACAACACCACCAACTAGCAGAGTATGAACTCTTGTACAGCTTAATCCTACAACTGCCGATTGCTGGGGATGTGATTACCTGAAACAGAACTTTGGCTCCTGGTGTAAAAATTAAAAAGTTGTTGAGGATTGCTAGTTTGGCTGATTCTTTAAAACGTTGTTGAGGATTGCTAGTTCATCTGCTTCTTTGTCTTTTTCTTTTGTTTGTTGTAGATTTTTCATTAAAGAATCATCAATAAAGCAATTCTAAAACTGTTTATTCGAAAACTGAAGCGCTGCATTCTGGGTACATGACAGATTTGATTTGTGACGGGAAATGAAAGTTTTCNTATACAACAAAGGTATATAATAGAAGAAAATACATCAGTGTTTAAGAAAAAAAAGAACGATAAAATAATTTGAGAAATAAAATATTATTAGGTGAAAAAGCATGTTTTAAATATATGTGATTGGTGATAAATGTGAAAGAAGAAAATAATGGCTTGGATGGGGATGTGATTACCTGAAACAGAACTTTGGCTCCTGGTGTAAAAATAAAAAAGTTGTTGAGGATTGCTAGTTTGGCTGATTCTTTAAAACGTTGTTGAGGATTGCTAGTTCAGCTGCTTCTTTGTCTTTTTCTTTTGTTTGTTGTAGATTTTTCATTAAAGAAGCATCAATAAAGCAATTTTTAAACTGTTTATTGGAAAACTGAAGCGCTGCATTCTGGGTACATGACGGATTTGATTTGTGACAGGAAATGAAAGTTTTCCATGTAGTTGCTCCAGTTGACCACTAGATGTCTGTCTAACCCCGTTGGTGGATTGCTTTAACCAATTACGTCAAGTATTGAGCTCCAGCGTTCAAAGTTTATTTTTTTAAAGGAGCTCAGATTTTAAAGTAAAATAAATCAATACATACAAAATTTTAGTATGGATTACAAACGTTTACTGTTTTTGCTGGGAAAAGGAGTACTAAACATTACCTTCCTGCTACGTAAGCAGACACAAAGCATTGTGGGAAAKGAGAACCGTGACCGAGAGCAACAGTCAGCAAGGATATATAAGTTTCCAATGTGTGTTGATCTGTGAGGGGTGCTGTTGGACATGTCACATGTGTTGTGATTCATTGACAGCTTTACCTTCTGCTGTTTGAGATAATATGATGAATGTTAGATAATTAGTTATTAGCGGTACTGCATTTAATTTTAAAAAGTGCAAGTCTGCCTATGAAATAAAAAAATTAGTAAAACCGCTAAGGCGCAAACGAAAAATTTAGGTCTGCAAATAGCAGATTTGTGCCTTAGCGGACTGGTGCCCATTACCTAAAAGTTATTTTTTGACATTATCGACCAATTACACTACAGTTACCATTGAAATACTGAAATGAACTGTAAAATGCTACAAATTAGATGATGTCAAATGATTTAGCTTATWGTTTAGTTGTTTTTAATTTGGTTAAAAATACAAATTGTATTGATGATTTCTGTTATTCAATCTTGTAGCTCCTCCTCTGACATTTTCAGCTGTATATGAGGCTGACCAAAACAAGACAGTAATGGCTGGCTCTCCCATAGCTCTGCAGTGTGAGCTGTCAGATCAGAATGGACAAGAAGTGAGTAGACACAACGATGGACCAGAGCTCCTGCCAGGAAATGAAACAGGGTTCCAATCCCAGGAGAATCTGAGAAGTCTGGAGGTGCCATCCACTGAACAAACTCACACTGATGTGTGCAGCTGTGAGTCAAAGGATGATGACGTTGAGATCTCTGTGGACGTAAAAGGTGATGTTCATGAACTTTTTGGCACTTTTCCTGTCTTGTGCCATATTAACTGCAAGTAATTAATTTAACTGTATAATCTCTGCTCCTACATTTTTAGTACAATTACTCACACTGTCAGTTCTTTCATGATGCATCTCATTCATTTAATCTAAAATCACTAACTATTTTAGACTTGTTACGATCTTGTCTTACCCTTCTGTCAAACCAAAATGAGTGTTTAATTTTGGACATTAGTGTCACACGCTTCTTGGATTTCCTCTTGTTTTGTTTGTTTATGTCTGTTGCCGTGTCCGTTGTTTGTGATGTAAAATGTGCCAGTGATCTAAGGTAGATTCATCTTCATCTTGATGTGTTAATAGTCTTAAAGGTCACGTTCTGAAGTTCTTAACTTAGATGTGTCATTACTTCGTTCACGAGTTCTTCTTTTTTATGATGTCCAAAACCTATAGCACTGCCTGTGAAGTTCTCAGAGCTCCAAGAAAATGAGAGGAACAAGTTCATCGTGGAAGGCAAGCCTTTTGTGCTCAGCTGTGAACTCTCTCATGAGCCTTCAACTCATGTTGATTGGTATAAGGATGGCATCAAACTCCTGCCTCAGAACAATGTGGAGATGCAGTCAGACGGGCTGGCAAGAAAGTTACTCATCCCCTCAGCAGAAAGCAAGCATGCTGGCATCTATGAATGCTCAACCCCAGATGACACTGTCACCTTTAAGGTGGACATAAAAGGTGAATGTTCTTGTCATTGGTATCTTCTTAGTTGCCTACCACATCTATCTTTTTCTCTTTGAGTGGTAAACATGTCCTGAATGATTGTGGGGAAATGGAATGACTGGAAAGTGTGTTTAGTGACGTCCTCTCTTATCTACCCCCTTGTCGTTCTCCTTTCGTAGGCCAATCACCAAAGATCATGCCAATGCCAGTTGCAGAAAAATACAAGATTATTAGAATTGGCCTTCCAATTATCCTGCAGTGTCAGGTCTCAGACCCTACTGCCCAAGTGTCCTGGTTCAAAGATAGAATGGAGCTTTTTTCAAAAACAGGCCTTGATATGAAAAGAGATGGCACCCTCAGAAAATTAATCATTCATTCGGCTAAAGCCTCTGATTCTGGCCTCTACAGCTGTAGCCTTGCTGGTGAAGTTGTGACCTTTCATGTGGACGTTGAAGGTGAATTATTTGTATTATTTGTAGGAGCAGAATCATTTGATTATTAATTTATTTGAGCTTGATTAGTTGTGTATTTGTCCAAGTTGCTACAAAACAATTTATTCAGTGGAAAAACATAATCAAACTATATTTCCCATGGAAGTTTGTGCTTAGTCAAACCAAAACCTCAATGTGCAGGCATGTTATTTAAATGTGAGCATAACATAAGTGCTGTTTAAATCCCATACAATTTACAGCTACCCCTGTGAGGTTTTTGGTTCTGCCAGAGGTTGCAAGAAATAAATTTGTCGAAGCAGGCTGCCCAATTAAGCTGCAGTGTGAAGTCTCAGAGCCAGCTGCTCAAGTGTGTTGGCACAAAGATGGGGAGCAGATGTTGCCAATGAGTGAATATGAAATCCACGCAAATGAAAAACTGAGGGCGCTGGTTATTAAATCATCAGAAGTCAGACACTCTGGGTTGTACAACTGTGAGAGCGCAGATGATCGTATACAATTCAAGGTGGATGTTGCAGGTGATCTAAGTATTTYTGAGCTCTGTCTGAACTACTAACTTTGACTTAATGCTTGACTATTAGACCATTATAAAATAAAACATTCCTTAACCAGGACTAATAATTAATGGTATACTTCATAGCAGAAAACACAATGACCTTTTTTTTATTTAAAACTGAAAAAGTATTTAAAATGTGGCAACTTGAGCAGCAGTAGTGATTGGTTGCTTTTTGTTTTACATCTAAAAGAATTATAAATAAACCAGACACTTCTGGTCTTTAATCAACATTTGCTCACAATTTAGCATTTTTAGAACCAAGCAAGAATTAAGATTAGATATTTAGTAATTCATATTTRAGTCAATGCTTTACAGYATGTATAAAGTTTTAGAACAATATAAAACAACGTTTAAATGTTATATAATATCAAATATTCCCCAATGCCTTTATAAAAACGATAAGTTTTAAGTCGGGTTCTGAAGGTAGATAAACGTTTGATGAGCTTACATTTAGCTGGCAGACAGTTTGCACAAGTTTTGGAYGTGAAAAAAGAGATTGATCTTTTTTTGGTTACAAGGATCTGTTGGTTTGAGTCGTAGACAGTGTAAATTATAAAGTATTAAGTGATATTATGAAGTGTTCCTACCTTCTCTGGTTGGAATGCAGGGCACAGTTTGGTCAGAGGCTGATGCTGTATCTGCAGTATTTTCTATGGTTTGAACAGTTGGAAGAGTGCAACCATGTAATAGAACCAGTGTAGGCAAGCATTGAGTAATATTATTGTGCCTCTTAGTCCTTTTAGTTAGTTTCAAACTAACCGAAGACAGGAGATGAAGAGTACAGATTCTTAAATCCAGGATTAGAGTTTTCCAGCATGGATAAACTTTAACATTACGTGATTTTTTTAAAAATAAAAAATAATAATAAATCTTCAAACTAATTGTAAATATGCTCTGTGACAATGTAAACTACAAACTAACATGTTGACAGCTTTCGAGGTGTTCATAACAATTTCACTCTTGGTCTGCACAGATACAAACCTGGGTTTGTGTTTTTTATTGTATGATTTATTTTTTAACCAAGTAAACCCAAATACATAACTTAGCCCAACATAGCACATCAAGTCTGATTACTATCTGGTCACTGCTCAATGATATGAAAGTCCTATAGCGTGGGTTTGATTCTCAGCTGTTCCAGAGGCTGAAAGGAGCAAATCTGTTGAAGCAGACAGCCTGATCAAACTGCACTGTGACGTCTCAGACCCCGCAGTCCAGACCTGTTGGTATGAGGATGGGATGAAACTCTTGCCAGAGTCGAACATTAAGGTTGAATCAAAGGGGAATAAGGGAACACTGGTCATGGAGTCGGCCACGTCTTCATACTCTGAACTGTGYGATTGTAGATCTGATGATGAGTTAGAGCTCAGCCATTTCTGTGAGGCAGTGAAAGGTGATATGCTAAGCTTTTCTTTTTCTTGGCAAGCTAATTCCATTCTTCAGTTGTGTACACCTTCATGGCCTCTAACACAGAAGAAAGCGAATCCCAATCATCACTTTATATCATASCTGATCTTTTAAAAGTTTTAATCTTAATAAAGCTGCTTTGTGTCTACATGCTTCTTTTAGCAACAGTTTTAAAATTAACATTTGTAACAACTTGTGGTTACGTATTTGCACTGCTTCAAATAATGTTTTCACTTTGATTCCAAGGAGGATTAACATTCACTGATTAATACAACATTTGTGATGAGCTGTTACGTAAATAGCAAATCTTGAGATCAGCATGTTTGGGCTGAGTCAATCTGACCTTACAGCTGCTGCATGCGTGAGCAGAAATATCGAGTTTCACTTTCGAGCAACATCTTACGTCTTTTGTGTACTGTTTTTCCACAGTGCCGCCGGTAACATTTGCTGATGTTTCAGAGAAGGACCTTTTTCACAGTGCTGTGGAACAAGAGCAGCTCGTTTTGTCATGTAAAGTATCAAGGGCTGATGGTGCTGTCCAGTGGTACAGAGATGGAACTGAAATACAATCAAATAATGATATCACAATAGAAGCAAAAGGAGCTGAAAGAACTCTGACTATACATTCAGCCCAACTGTCAGACACAGGCACATTCACGTGCCGCACAGGAGACAACATTTTAATCTTCAAAGTTAATGTTAGAGGTAATATTAGACCTAAAATGGCCCAGTCTTTTAAAATACTTGGACTTTTAGAGTAGAACATACAAACAACGCTTTATTATCTTTTGTATTTTCTCCAAAGAGCCTCCCGTCACGATCGTCTACCCCAAAGAGGATGTCCACCTCGACCGTCATGTTCCTGAAGAAATTATTTTGAGCTGTGAACTGTCTCGTCCTAACGGTGTTGTCAGCTGGTTCAAAGATGGCCAGAAGCTTCAAGAGTCTGAAAACATYAAGCTGAAGCTGGAAGGCCCTTATCGACGACTCAAGCTTCTTTCGGGTCGAGTCGAAGATTCTGGAGAATATGTCTGTGATACAAAGGATGATTCAATATTTTTTCACCTTAATATCACAGGTAAGATTGTTGCTGTTATACAGAGAAATATCAAATAATTTCTATTGAACATAGTGTGTGTTTATTGGTTTTATAACAGATCTAAGTAGAAGGATTTGTGATCAGAGACAATTGTGAAAACATTTCTTTTATGGAACTAATAGTAATATTATAGGTGTCTGAACAGGCTGGTTTCAGTAAATAAAAAATAGACAATTGACTGAATACTGCTATACTTACTTCAAAACCAAAGGCCAGTAAGTGTTTCCAGATAACTCCTGTAAAATACTGATGATTACAATGTCTTAATTGCAGATTTAAAAAAAAGGTTGATCAATTAAGTTTTTCATTGCTTGCACTTTTAATTGTTTGCTAAAGTAGGTGTAAAACTTAATTTTTCCAAATTTTTTCTCAGTCTGTCACAAAAGGTGTCTTTAATGTTTTTAAAATGAGTCACCAAATTATTTTTGGATAAATATTTTTGATTTTAGGGCTATATAAACATTTGTAAGTTACCTGAACCGTCACAGACCGTTTCAGTATCAGGAAGTTCTCTGCAACTGTTACTGTGCAAGTTTTGGTTCYATACCCCTCCCTTTGGTATTTTTGAAAAGACGAAGCTCTCACGAATTTAGGGATATATCTTGACACTGTGTTACTCTTTGTTTGATGACATGAAGTTTGTGCGTAGCCRAGAGTATAAATAACAGCCATCATGCGTAAAATGTCGAGGCAGAGTTAGGTTCCATTCAGTAATTTCATGGTGTGCACAATGGTAGATTTTGATGATGCACAGTGTAAATGTAAAAATAAAAGTTTATGTCAAATGCAGAATAAGTCCTACAATAGAAATCAATACTTTTATTAGACCAGATTCTCTTTTATAAAGTAAAAAATACATTTGGCACAGTTTTGGGTACATTTGGCTAAATTGTGCCAAAAGGCCGTTTCCGCCCGGCACACTGCTCACTAAAACCTTTGTGAAATGAATATACTTCAACTTATTCAGTCCTACTTTGCTACAATTTTTCTCAAGATGTAGATGTATAAAATCTAAGGGCATTCCTGGGTTTTCACAAGAGTTTTCATTGTGTTTTGCACTRTTGATTTCAAAAAAACTTAGGCGAGGCTAAAAAAATTACAAATTTTCTTTATTTAATCACAAATAACTCAGGCACAGTAAAAGTTACAATAGTGGTTTCACTTAAGAAATTATCTGTATGATCTTACCTTTACAGAGGTACAAAGAGTTAGCATTTAGACTTTAGCTATTCTTGCTTTATTTTGCTGTGTATTTTCAGGCGGAAATTACCTCTAAACCCYTTAGGGCTTAAGTTAAAGAAAGATGCTATCCATGTTGGGTGATGTTAATTCCTAATCTTTCCCTGCAGAACCTCCGGTGCAAATTATATCCCCAAGTCAGTCACAAATGGAACTGTGTCAGCAGACCTCTGAAAGAATGGTGCTTAGCTGTGAGATCTCACGGCCCAATGCAGTGGTGCGGTGGTATCGAGACGGACTCGAGGTGGAGGAGAATGAYAATCTTATTCTAGAAGTAGATGGGGTCTACAGAAGACTTATCATACCAGAAACAACTGTCAAAGACTCAGCAGAATATGTATGTGACACAGGGGATGATTCTGTGACATTTTTTGTGAACATAGCAGGTAAAATCTAGAAATAAAGTTCACTTAGATTTTTTCATATATATAATATAGCTAATATTTATTATTGTTTGATAAACAGAACCTCCTGTTCGCTTCATACGCCCACGAAAGATGGCGAGTAATGTAGAGAAGGCAGTTGGGGAGACCCTGGTTTTAGACTGTGAGGTTTCACGATCCAATGCCGAAATCACCTGGAAAAAAAATGGGGAGGAAGTAGAGGACTCCAGAAACATCACCATCCTAGAGGACGGCATCATGCGACAATTAACCATTCACTCYTTAACAGTGCAGGACAGTGGCCAATACGTTTGTGATGCAAAAGATGATGTGATGCATTTCAATGTGAATGTGCAAGGTAGGTTTGTTTAAATGAACATATCATTTCATGTATCATATTTATTTAATTGCTGYACTATAATGTCTCAAAGTCACAAAAGATGAGCTTAGTTGGAACTCTCCACTCACCCTTCCACACTGGTGATTGAATTTCAACCWCAAGTCCTCTACCAGAGGCCTCAGGGGAACTATCTAGTACCATAATGTAGATGTGCCAAGAGTATGCTCTTCTGGACAGAGATCGCTGAGATCGTTATTGGTATCCGTTGAAGTCAATCTGCTCTGAATGCTCCAGTGACCACTGGGATTACAGACGTCTAGACTTTTAAACAAGTTCCAGTATCCGTTACCTCGAGTTTTGAAATTCTTCTTCCAAACATTGGAGCCTGGGATCTGCACTTGTTCTTTGGTCAGATTAGATTTTGGCTACCAAAGCATTGGTCCCATATTTTCTTCTCATATTTATTTCCTATGTGCTAGCATGTGTAAAACTCCAAAATGATGATATTCTCAACTAACAATGTCACATTGAGAGTTATCTAATAAAAAAAACAGATTAGATTAATTTAAATGTTCTTGTTCCCTTGACCCAAGCAAGTCTTCATATTGGTCTTCCATAACCACTATTCTAGTTCTTACATTTCATTTTGTAAAATGTAGGATAACCACCATATTTTGAGGCTTTGTGGCTCTTTAAAATGCTATTTTTTAAAAYGTTTTGCTTACAGTAGAGCTCCAAAAAGTATTTCCCCTGCAAAATATCTCAGTGTTGTTTTATTCATTTGCAGATTTGCCTGTAAAAATTCTTGGAAAAACCGAGGCAAAAACAGAAAGACAGTTTTTGGTGTCAGATGATATTATTTTAGTGTGCGAGCTTTCAAGAGCCAATGCTTCAGTCATCTGGTACAAAGATAATCATCTTATTGATGACACTAAGAGATACTGCCGCGAAGAGCAAGACGTCTTCCGATCACTGGTTGTTCTAAATGCGGRAATCGAAGACTCCGGAGAGTATACCTGTGATGCAGTTGATGATAAGATGGTCTTTAATATAACTGTCAGAGGTAACCGTGTTAGCAATTATGATTCCGAAATGTGGTTAATCTCTTTTCCACTTAAAKCACAGATTAATGTCAATGTGTCTACTCTTCAGAGACTCCTGTGCAGATCATTGGAAACTCGGGCAATCCAGAGCATCATGTTCTGGCTGCAGGAGATGACCTTATTCTGGAGTGTGAAGTGTCTCAGCCCAGTGCAACTGTTAAGTGGCTACGAAATGGCGAGAAACTCAACACAGGCAATCGGATAAAAATCGATAGTTATGATGTGGTGAGGAAGCTTGTTCTCTCCGAACTTCAACCCTCAGACTCAGGAGAGTACGTTTGTGACGCCATTGATGACAAGTTGATAACGATTGTGAAAGTGGAAGGTAAACTTAAACTTACACATTAGTTCGACTTTTTTGTTTTGTTTATAATGCGTATGTTTTCCCCCAAAAAAGTCTTAAGAACTTATTTGTGAATTTTTCTTTCCGCAGACACGCCAGCCAAGTTTGTTAATAAAAATGTTAAAAATAACATCTCAGCCTATGAAAACGAGAGCGTCACATTGTGTGCCATGGTGAGCCACGAACGAGCTAATGTTCGGTGGCTGAAAGATGGCCAGCTTTTGAATAAGGACAACATTCATATTTCCAGTGATGGTAAAACTCATAAGCTCACCATTAATCCTCTGCAGCTGTTAGATTCTGGAGACTATGTCTGTGACATTAGCACTGACGAAATGTTTTTCAGTCTTACAGTCAAAGGTAAGAGTATGGCTTTCCTGATCCATATATAAAAAAGTTACCCTATGTGTAAAATGGTTAAATGTCTCAAATTGTAACTGTTWCACAGAAATGAAAGCAAAATTCATCAGACAGCTGGAGAATGTGGTGTCTCAGAGGGGTAAAAGTCTTACATTACAATGTGAAATCAACAAGTCCAAAGGAGATGTTCAGTGGCTTAAAGATGGCAAGGAGATAGCTCCAGGTCGCCGGTACACAATACGGGCACAAGGTAGAGAGCGAAGTCTGACCATTCACCAACTCATGGATGAAGATGTAGGGGAATATACCTGTGAATCCACTGGTGATCGGACCACTGCCACTGTCTCTGTAGAAAGTAAGTTGGTCTAATTCTCCAACATYAACACAGGTTGATGATAAGTTACCTCCAAATTAAAATGGTTTTACTAATTGTGTCATCATAACCTTCAGAATAAAATCATTCTATCATTTCTGTTTCAGCTCCTCGTGTTGTCGAGTTCATWGCGGAGCTTCGTAATATCACTGTCCGCGAAGGGGAAGATGCCGTGTTTAAGTGCGTCGTTTCACCAGCRGACGTTAAACTGGTTTGGCGTTTGAATGGCAAGCAGGTCGCTCTGAAGGAGCGCGCTGTCCTTTCCAGCCACGGCCTGTGCCATATGCTCGCCATCAACAACTGCATGGTCTCAGATAGCGGCAGAGTGACAGCTGAAGCTGAGGGGTCAGTTTCAGAGGCAGAACTTCAGGTTCAAGGTGAGTTGTTGGTGCCTTGTCAACTCTGTCTGGATTCCATAATATGTACTAATTTTAAAATATACATTTGTGGTATGATTTTTCAAAGGTATGTACTCAGGAGTAATGTGCAAACTTAATGTGATAAGTTACTCATGGGATCTACAAATGAACACATACATGGGCAAAAATATCACCCCTTGCCCATATCGTGTGCAAATTGCTGGGTTGCTGTCACGTGACCCAGATGACGCGCGAAATTCAGATGGGGGGAAGGAAGTGATTTACTCCAGTTCAAAACACAGCTAAATGGGCTGACGCAGATGAAATACTGCAAAAAATATGTGTACATTTAAAATAAGACCCATATTGTCTTAAGAAAAGATACTTGTCAAATAATCTGGAGGATTTACAGGTGCCGAGGCGATTGACATAGACTATCTGGTGATGCAGACCTCGTATTATACGACAAGCCAGATGAAAGCTTTCAAAGCCTCGAAGCTACAATTATTTAGTTTCAGGTTGGGTCAAACATTTGGGATCCAAAGAAATTTTGAATTAATGTCGACTTGTTTCTGCCCGCGTGAGTTGTGCTATTTAGCCTATGATAGCATGCTATCGCTAACGCTAAGAGTTAACCCCTGTTATAATCTATGTGCTTGAATCTACTTCTAAATAATTTATTTAGCTTCTGTAAACCCAAATTCAAGTAACTATCCAGGAAAACATCTGAAAATAGGAATTAAACAATACAATTCTTACCTGTTAGAAAGTGGTCGCTGCAAGTCCGTTTCCACACCTCCTGTATGAGAGGCCCTTTAGGTCATAATTCAAACTTGCTCTCACGTAGTGCTGGGTGGTATGGCCAAAATTTAAATCACGGTATTTTCAACATTTACACCAGTTTGACCATATTTGACGGTATTTTTCTTTCCATCACAGGTCAGCTGATAATAAAATGTACAAACACTGCTTATTAACTTTTTTCTTTGACTGTACCTCTGTCTGTGTCACTGTTTCCCTCCTCTGTGTGTCTTTTCTTTGACTGATGGTTGTAGACAGTAGTCACGCATTTTGGTCCAGTCGTGAAGGAGGAGGGTTAAGAAAAGTTTATAATCGGGTCTATTGTTTTATGTTCTTTAATAAAGATTATCAGCACAATTCACCTTGCACACCAGTCATTTCCAATTCCATTACAAACTGCTTTGCCCGGGTTTTTCACAAAAGAACCACGTTAAGTCTCCATCAGCATAACATCTCCATATTAACGTTGCACATTAAATCTAACCATGCACGTCACTGAAGAGGTGTTTACTACATACAGCGATGGTGAAAACAGGATGTTTTTTTAACGTCAGTCAATATAAGCAGCGAAATCACCACCCGCCTCTGAAGCTGCTCAACAATAACATTAGCATGCTAACGCACATAGTGGTGCTGCGAGGAAAACTGTCCCCCGGGAAACAGCTCATTGGCGGCCGCGACGAAACGTTCCACATTCTCCCAATTGGAGCAGTTGCAACAATCGTACATGGCACAGAATTTACACATGTTGACGCTAAATCAACAGAAGGAAACGGAGATGCATTTACTTCCTGCCCCATCTGCATTTTGTGACGTCAATACTACGTCATCCGCAAAACAGCAATAGTGTAATACAAAAAATGCATTCATTGTTGACGTAACAGGTGGTGCAAGCAATTCTTAACCGTCCTGTTGTTACAGAGCAACAGGTGCTGTTCACCAAGAAAATGGCACCAGTTGTAGCTGAGGAGTACAGTGAGGCAACTCTGGAGGTGGTGGTGAGTCGGGATGCTGGAGAGGTGCAGTGGATGAGACAAGGGGTTCTGATCCACCCTGGTGCCAAGTACACCCTGAAACACAAGGGCCAAAAACACAGTCTTACCATCCACACCCTGGCGGTGTCGGACCGTGGAACCTACAGCTGCGAAACCCTCCACGACCGCACGCAAGCACATCTCACAGTGGAGCGTGAGTGTTCTCGCTATGCCCTGTTGTTGTTGTTTGTTTACTGCTGTTACCAGCAACTCCACCCCCTTTACTGCTCCTTGTGAGTGCAAATCTCAATTAACTGAGTAGGGGTAATTCGAGGAACCGGAGATGGGGGTGGCACTTATATTTGGGAAATGATGGTAACCAACAAGTGATGTTGTTACAACCCAAACTGAGGAGGTTTTCTCATACTGAAACATAATCGCATCACAATAGTTATACATCAGTATTTGAGTTCTACTTTAAAAATGATACTTGGTAACAAATTTCCAAATGAACAAGCATATTTCATAAATAGAAAGCTTGACACACTATAAAACATCTTGTAGTAATTAAGATGCAMTTATCCTTGTTTTTCTTCGTGCTTAGGTTTCTTAGTCCTGTGATCCACATGCAAGTAGGTGMATTAAAGGCTGCTCTTTCAACACTAGTGTGGGTGGGAGGGGGTAAGTTAGGACTTCAGGCTGCTGTTGGCACCTCCTATGAATTTGGATCTTCTCTCATTGCATCTAAATTTACACCATGGCCTTCAAAACTAAGGTTGTTGTCATCAGGTCTCCAAAATAAACACTATTTTTTTTTCCATTGGGAATGCGTGTCTACGTTAGAATAAGTGAAAAATCTTGGCAGTTTCAAAGCAGGCTTTTGTGTAAAGCCCAGCGCTCAAACGGCTAAAATCAGCTTGTCGGTGTGCGCCAGCTTGCATTGTTTAGCTACAGAACAAATTCCAAGCCCATTATGTAAAAGAAAAAGGACACCCCGTCTGTTCGGTGTTATACCGGGCCTGTTCTGGCAAACTTGACTTTTTTTCTCTCTCTCACTCTCTCCATTGTGTTTCTCTGCCCCCCAGCTCGAAAAATCACCATCAAGAGAGGTCTAACAGACATTAAAACCACCGAGAGAGAAACAGCTTCCTTTGAAGTAGAGCTCTCCCATTCTAATGTCCCAGGCACATGGATTAGAAACGGAATCCAGCTTAAGCCAACGAATCACTTCCGTATGAGCGCCAAAGGACAAGTTCACAGCCTCACCGTCTCTAACCTATCAGTAGAAGACACTGGAACCTTTGTTTTCTGTGTAGAGAATCTGAAAACATCTGCAAGGCTTGTTGTGAAGGGTAGGTCACTCTGAAAACGTCTACTGAAAAGGGCTATGAAGCAAATAGTTTATTAAAGGCACTCATTTTCAGAGGTTTATAGTAACTAAATACATTTACTTTGTTACAGTACTTCCGTAGTTTGTTTCAGGATTTTTAATTTTACCAAGTATTTTTGAAATCATTACTTTTACTTTTATCGAATTACACCTAAAGCCTAAAAATGCTACTTTTACTCCTTTATTTTAAAACTTAACACCTAGTTTCTCATTACAAATTACAGGAGTTGTTTATGAGTTCTAAAAAAAAATAAGTGTTAACTTTAAGTCATGTCAACCGGTTTCACTAAACCTAGTAGAGTAAATATGAAGCAATATATGTATTTTCTATAAAATTAAATATGCATATTGCTCAGTTTACTCAACTTTATTTAGTGGAACCAGTTTGGTTCAGTAAATTCAACAGTTTATTTTTCAGAGAATGTGTAAAAGTACTTTTACTTTCAGTTTTACGACTTTGAAGTACCTTTCTCATCAGTGAAATGTATTTTTATCAGTCATTTTCTGTTAAGGTATTTTTACTTTTACTTAGTTAATTTTTTCAAGTACTTTACAAACCTCTGCTCTTTTCTAAGTCATAAAGACCAGACATTAAAAAACATATTTTTATTTACAGTTAATGTGTCTGGTTGCCATGTTTGTTTGTTTACGTTTGCATCTACTCAACTTTGAGTAAATCTAATACAATTACTTCACATTCACTTATAAAGTAAATGAAAAAATGCTTTAGATTTACACAATTCAGTTCAGTAGAACCTGTTGACATAATTTATTTAAGTAAATCCAATGCAAATATTTAGATGTTTTTTTGTCACTTTGGCTGTAGTGACTCTTTTCTTTTATGTTTAGCAGCATATTCACTCTTATTTTTCCACCTAGTGTCTTTTCTGAGATTCTCCTCTTGTTAGATTATGTCATATTTAGGAAAAAAACTACATGGAAAAACTCTTTCCAGTTTCACCATTCAGTAGATCATCGTGAGACAAAGCTTTACTATAATTGTTTTGCTGCGATCCCACGCAGGAGCTAAAGTTGTTCTCTCAGTCTTACCCAAATGGTAASCACTGCTGGCATGATAATAGAATAYGGGTGAYGGCTCAACTACTGTTGCTTTTCATCCAGGCTCACGTTACAAACAGAAAAAAAGCCCTGAAAGATGAATTGAAACGCAGCAGCTCTGCAGTCTTTCAGACAGGCGCTAGTTTTAACCTCATCTTATAGAATAATCCTCTCCACACCTTGTCACTCAGCATCCATCATCCCTTTGAGCCTGGAATGAAATGCAGAGGATGACATTTGAATGCATCTGTCATCGCATTAGTCCGTACATGTTGCTTATAGAAATTATTAGAAATCTAGGAGAAGGTTTCTGATTGACTGACACTTTCTCTTCAACAGAGCCCCCGGTGACTATTTTTAGGAAACTGGGAAACCAGAAAGTTCCAGATGGTTCGGTGATCTCTCTTGAGTGTGAACTGTCAAGACACAATGTTGATGTTAAATGGATGAAGGTAAGTCATGAGTTTTAGGGTCTTCTAACTGCATTGAGGTGCTGATATTTAACAGCCATGTAATAAATTAGCTACATGCTTTACTATCTAAAACAAACATTTAAAGCATCAACCTTCTACTAAAACAGTTACCCAAATTATTCCTAGTGTGACTGTTACCTGATTTTTGTTGTTTTCAGAGTATTATTTTCAYATTAGACAATCATACAAGGCTAATTTCTTACAAGAAAAGTCTAAATCTGCCATTTAATTGGTTTGAACCTTGAGCTAAATACAATAATTCATATTTTTTTGTTGACAAGTTTTAACATAATTCAAACAAGAACGTTTCAAAAATAAATGTGTCTTAGAAAACTTCAAGTCATGGTTGGTAAGGTTGGTGAAATTGATGAACATGTTTTTGTCCCAATATTTTCAGAATGGAGAAGAGCAGAAGCCGAGCAAAGACCTGCGTATTTATGCAATGGGAAGAAAACGGTTTCTTCAGATCATGAAATGTCACGTGACTGATTCCGGTGTGTACGCTTGTGACGCCGGAGATGTCACTACATCCTGCACAGTGGAGGTTTATGGTAAGATACGATGGTTGTAATCAGTCTCTGCTGACAGTGGTGTGATAC